CGTTATAAGCTTAATAAACTCCACTGATTATTAATTGAGAACGCGTTTTATAAGTCCGAACTCAATATATAATCATTGTGATAAAATACATTTATTTTTCGATTTAACAATTACTTAATATAATTACAAAATTCGAGTCATCGTGAAATATTTTGAATTAAATAATATATAATTTTTTTCAGATGCCACACAAATTTTATTATAATTTCAGATATAGAAAGAAGCAAAGCCATTTAATGCGAATCCCAGCATCAAGTTATTTCTTTGCTCTCTCACGTTTCAGGAAAATATCTATAGTTCATTATTTCTATCACTAACTAAAAGATTCACATCTACACGAAATAAATTATCCCACCCATATCTATGAAATTTTTGTCTATCTATATCACTATTATCCACACAGACTAACTTCACTGAGATTAAGTAATTTCGCAACTAAAATATAAATCGGGGAATTAGCAATTGAGGTAAAAAGAAGCAATGCAATATTACCGATTCACTCGTGTTAAGATATTTCGATTTTTTTATCTCAAGTACGATTCTGCGCAAAACATTAATGTTTGATATACTGCGCCATATTACTGCCACATAAAAGTCTTACCAATATAAGATTTTCTCCGGCTGAACTTAAAGTCATGTGATTTTTCTCTATATTTCACTGCGTAGATGAGGCACGTGCTAGCGATCACGATTTTCTTGGCGAATATCAAATATGTTAAGAATATTATTTTATATATGGAATATGCAGATATCGAATTGGAACAACATGGTAAGTGTCCCTTATAGTCTTGTGATTTTAAAAAAGATACTTTGTTGAAGGTATGTCATCAATTAAGTATTTGTCTTGCGATTTCAGTTTTTTTCTGACAATATACAGGGGGGTATAAAAAGTATTGGCCAGTTTTGAAAATTTTATTACAAGACAATTAACATATTAACTTTATTTTTTTATTTTATTTTATTGAACTACAGGTTAATACTTCATTGGACCTCCATTTGCAGCAAGAATGGCCTGAATCTGACGTGGCATTGACTTGATCAAATTTTGATAATAATTTATGGGTACCGCATCCCATTCCTCCTTAACCCACTGCTCTAATTGCACAACACTTGATGGCTGGGAATCACGCTTACGAATTCTAACTTCAATATATAACCAAATGTTTTCTATAAGGTTAATATTTGGGCTTTACGCTGGCCAGGGAAGCAACTTAACATTCGAGGATTTGATGAGAGAACGTGCGACTTTTGCAGTGTGAACAGGTGCGTTATCTTCTTGAAAATAAAATTTTTTTTGATCTTTTTTACATGAGACTTAACCATAGGAATTGCATAATTAACCAAGATATTATGATGCGTATTTCCAGTTACGCAACCAACTAAAGGAACCAAAGGACCTATACTGATCTAGGAAAAATACCTCTAGAACATGCGATCAAAACTCTTTTGAACTGTAGCTGCAATGCAGTCTTCGTAAAATTCTTCAGAAGGTTTACGCCATACCTGCTCAAAATCTGACATTCTAAATCGTATATAAGTAGACTCGTCTGACTATACTACTTTTTTAAAATCTTCTACAGTCTAATTTTCATAAGTACAAGCCCAAAGTAAATACCTTTCTTTATTAGTTTCAGAAATTAATAGAATGAAGTGAGAAATACGCAAGTGAAAACCTTATTTGACCAATTCATTACAAACGGTTTGTTTAGAAATTGTTTTGTTTGTTTTATTTATAACATTTAAACGTATTTGGGAGAGGGTTTAACGTTAGGTTTTTTTTATTCCTAACCACTGAACGCTTGAGATGTTTACGTTCTGCTTCATTAAGGATTTGTAGTTGACCTGTTCATTTCTTCAGAAGTTATTTTAACTCATATGACTTCCATACATGTCGAACAGAGAAACAAAAGCAACTAACAACTGCAGAGATTCTGAAATTTGAATGGCCTAATTTTTTTGCAGCAATAATTCCCCCTTTTTAAACATTGCTAAGTTCTTTTCTGAGACACATCATTGTGACAAATTTTTTCTCACTATATAATGTAAAAAAATTTTTCGTATGTCCAAATAACCTCATTTATATATCACAATGATGTTTTGTTTATATTTTTAGTTAGACACAGTCACACGCAATTAAAAATGGAAATTATAGCTTAATTCAGCAGAGGTATAATAACACGTGTCACTTTTGTGTTATATTAACCAGGTGGCTAATACTTTTTATACCCCTCTGTAAATGATATAAACAAAGTTCTCAGTGAATCAGTTTATAGTCTTACATTATTATATATAAGTAAACATATGGGATCTTTGCAATAGAAAAGGAAAGCTATAACTCAATAATATAAATACTGTATTTATAAAGATAAGAAAATAAAAAAATGAATAATATTTTTTTTTTGTCTACTTTTATAATTTAAAAATTGAGATAATATATATGTATTTTCAACTAAAATAAATTAAATCTCCATCATTAGAATGATTCTATTCTAAGGATTTTTAGTCTGCTCTTCTCTACCGCATATGTAGCTGAAATTCTTTGTTTATTTTATATATTATACAATTATATAAACCACCCAAATAAAACGCTAAATTTATGTGAAAATTTTGATAAATTAGTCACAATAATTGATTGATATACATTTGAAGCGTGTTGATATTTTTGACAGAAAAAGAGTGTTTATAAGTTTTGTAGTTTGATTGAGGAGGTTTATATTATATAAAGTATATGTTCATACGATACAAACTTTCTCTGATAAAGAATCGTTTGGCATACTATGCTAATTTTTTTAGATCTTTTGTTAAATGTTTTTTTTGTATTGATAGCACTTAAAAACGTATTGCAAAAAAAAATTAGCAGAAATATTCAACTAGATCTCATGGTAATTATCAGGAGAATTTTTACTAAGTCACATATAGCTCTTATATGATAAAAACATAGCTGAATCACAAGACAGAATTATGCGATATATTAATTTTATAATCAATAAGTTGTGTATACTAATCTTGTCTTTTTTTTCCCAAACATGAGAAAAATGTGAAAAAGTGTCTAGTTGCAATAAGGGCCTACCCTATAAATAATAATAATGATAAAACTATATGTTATGAAGGGTTGAGAACTTTGCAATTTTGAGTGTTAGTCCAACTTTTGAGTCTTTCATGTAGATCTCTATGTGAAAAAGTATGAAGCTTCCGTATTTATATGCTTTCATAGCTTTCTTAGCATCATACGACAATGCTAATTATGTCTTATATCTACTATCCTTCAGTCTTTTTTTCAGCAATATATAAAATATGTAGTAGTTCATAAACATTCAACCAACTTTCTCTTCCCGCAAAAAATAAGGTATGTATATGCTAAAAGTTATGCTTATATAAGCAAATTAATTTCTTACTATAGGCTTTGCATTTAGGAAAACAAGATGTCTTTCAGTGCAGATGATGATATTATTAGTCTTAACTTCCGCTAACGTAATGCAGTAAATAAAAATATAATTTTGAGATTGAAATCTCTAAGGACAAACAAATCTTTGAGCTTGAAAATGAAGTGAGAAAGAAATTGGGACAATCGATTGTAAAGACTTTCTTCGTTAAATTTATCCTGCAGAAAAACTTATGCGAATATTGAGGTATTTTTACATTATTATAAAAATTTTTGTGATGCATGTGATCATTATTTTATCGATCATTCCAGAAAAGTATAATAATCATATACAATTCAATGAGTCACAAAAAGATCCTTTTACACAACTTTTTTGAATAAACTTTTTTACTCACTTTAAAATGGAAGGACCAATGAAAGACAGCAAAAACAACCTTTTTCTCATCACAGGAACTATTTTGCTTGACCTGCAGGAAAATAATCAGATGACTGACAAGTACTTTTATATGAAGAATCCTATTGAGTAGGATATCATCAGATTCCACCTTTTTTTTAGAAAAAAACAAAGAGAGACCAGAGAAACTCAATTACATGAAGACTGCAGATAAACTCACCAGGAGTTTGCGAGATATTGTGAGCACGTCAACTAATACTGATATGATAAGGCAGGTATTAAAACTTCAGGAAAAGTGTAGATTTGCCTTGTACAAATATGATGTTACAACTGGATAGAAGTTCTCTTAGACCGTGACTATATCAACGATTAGTTGGTTTGGCTCTCTACAACTATGCGGTAATTCTGCTGATGTACTGTTTATGATCTGTTGACCATTGTAAACAGTTAGCTTTTAGCAATAAGGGTACTTTAATTGTATTAGCAACTGCGACTACGCAGAAATTCTGCTGATAAACTGCTTATGAGCTGTTAATCATTGTGGCTGATTGTAGCACTTTATTATCTATACTTACCTATGATTAAACTAATAATTACATAGTGAACACATCGAAAAGGAAGAGCTTTAGACAAAATGTGAATATTCATTGAAGTTAAATTAAAAGAGAAAAAGTTAACAGATCTTTAGGTACGCATAAGAAATGTTATTGTCATTTTATAATACAGCTTACATATGAATTTATTTTACTATAAAATAAGTTACATAGACTACTACAGGTAATACAGAAGAGTCAAAATTATGCGAGTATATTAAATCGTGATGTCTTGGGGTTAGAGGATGTCATCGCTTCAAATAAGTATAAAAGTGAACAGAGTGAACCTAAGAGAAAGATGACTGAATCTGATGTGCTACAAACATCATGAAAAAGGCCTATGTGTCTCATTTTTAAAAAACTCATTGCATAAATTACTCCTGATAAAAGAGACAATAGCAAAGTATGCATCCTGTGATTCATGTCAGCTTATGCAATATCATTAATTGCCTTTTCTTTTTAGTTACAGTCTTGCGTCAACAATATTACCAGGGTTGAAATTGCTTATATCAAATCTTGAAGTTCAACACGAAGATATTGTCGAGGAAATAAATCGTCATTTGTGTGACTAAATCAAACTAGTCAGCTTGCCAGAATTACTAGTCATATAGTTACGTTTGGTTCTTGCTGTAAGTATTGTAATGTAATTATACTTTGAAGTTACGAATTTTAGCTGATAATTTTTCGTAGAGTACTGTAGACTAATAATGTGCACTTGGAAGATTGAAAGTACCCTTTTGGAAGGGTTAAAAGCATAATTCTCTAATAAATTCATTTAGATTAGAAGCTACCAATCAAATTTTATATTATTGGAAACATAAGATGCATATCACTGCTGTAGACGAGTTTGATGAAAAGGTAAACTTGCCATTAAAGAATGCTAATGATTATGAAGATAGCTTGCGTATTGTCTTTCAGGACACCTTAATCGACTTATAAATATATAATCACTGTTATTAATGCATTTGAAAATGAAATATTGACATGATATAACCATTCAAAGTCATACAGTGATATCTCCATAAGTGCACTCCCCTTGGGACCATAATAAAAAAATAGCAAAATGTGCAATTAGAAAGGATGTGCATTTATAGAGAATAAAATATTAAGAGCTCTTATGAGTTGGAACCAAAGCCTACTATGCATTTAGAGAGAATTTACATAAAGTGTATATTTATAGAGTGTGCACTTATGAAGGTTTCACTGTACTATGATTCACTGTGCAAAAAATCACATTATTGGAAGGCATGCATCTGAAAGAAAATTTCTACTAGAACAGGTTTCTTTTCCATTCAAATATATTGAATATGTATTTGATCTGGTAATGTTTAACTGGTATGTCTTATCTTCATATAGACTGAAATTTTTCTTTTTCTTTTCGTTATATTTATTTATTTTCGAATTTATCTAAGGTGGAGAAAAATATGATGATAACAAAGGCATTGCAATTTGTTGAAGATCTAGACAAAAAAGCGATGACTTATAAAGTGGACATATTAGCTATTGTTAAGGAGAATCATAGAGAATTTGTGACAATTGGGGTATCTGGTAGACCAATTGAGCAGGATCGTCCTCATACACTGGAAGATACCAAGAAGATATTGCTAGAAGGTGGTGAAATGCTTCAAGATACATTATAACAATATCTTAACGCATCTCTTGAAATAGTTAAAAAACAAATTTTATACAATGCAAATAATAGGTATATTCCAATAACCTTAGTACAAAAATGTATATTCAAATTGATCCACGAGCCTTTTGATATACAGTAATACCTCTATAAGTGCACCTTCTATAAATACATACCCTCTCTATATGAACATTATAGCTTGGTTTCAAGCTTGAGACTTAGAGCTAAGTGCACACTCTCCAATTTCTGCATGTGCAAGAAATTCTGAGTTCTAGATATTTTAGAACGTCCTCTATAAATGCATAATATAACAATCGATCAATCATAAACACCGTATGATCACGAGTTAATTTTTATGTTTGAAAATTCTAAAAGTAAAATATATTAAATATATTATCCAATGAGTAAATTTACATAAATAATTTAAATAGCTTCATATATAATATGACAATGCCTTTATTTTATTATTAAAAATTAATTTTTATTTTTATAAAAAAAAAATTTTTTGATCCATTTAAAAATGATATATAAAAAGGCTTTTTAAATTTATTAAATAAATTAATTAAACGAATGCAAACAAATCATGGTAAGCATGAATAATAAATATATGTATTGTCTTGATCTATTGATAACTAACTAAATTAGTATTAGTCAGAAAAGATTTAGAAGTGATTATATTAGATGATTCTGTTTACACATGTTAGTGAATAAACAAATCCCATAGAACATTTTTATTCTTACTTGATCAATTATTCAAATTAGTATAGCAGGGAATATTTTATATATTTATGAGGAAATAATGCATGTCCAAATTCCTATAGAATAAAAATTAAAGTGTTAGATTAAGAAAAAAACAATGATGATTCACCATTATTTAATAATGTTGAAATTAGCTATACTTCTCTAAAAATGTCTCTCAAAAGAACCACTCTTTCTGAAATTCAAAAAAGAGAACTTTGTAATTACACTCAAAATAATAAAAGAATCTGAGCTCAGTATGTTAACTGAATTGAAGAAAAATGAAACATTAGAGTTGATGAGAGTACTATTACTTGTATTTTACAAATAGTAGAAAAATAACTTAATTCAGAAACTATTAATCCAAATTCAAAACATCATAAATCAGTTACTTATCCAGAACTTGAGTTTGCTCTTAAGGAATTCATTTTAAACTATCAGCATTAAATAGTTTAAGCAATGTAATACTTATAGAAAAAGCTAAAATGATTGCTGATAGATTAGATATTCCCTGAAATGCATTACAATTCTTCTCAGAATAGTTCTATAAGTTTAAAAACTGTAATGGAATTTGTTAACGAAAGCTTGAAAGAGAAGTTTCATCTGCTGATAAAGCCACTATTGCTAATACTTTACCTTTATTAAAAGAACATTATTCTAATTATCCTCTTGAAAGAATCTATAATATAAATGAAATGGGACTTTTTTATAAGTAAATCTTTAAACAGAAAAAAAATCAAATAAAAAATTTAATTATCTTATATTTATAAGTTAGAACCTGATTGAACATTCACAACCAAACGTCTTTCTAGGTGTAAAATGAATAAAGAACGTCTTTCAGTTGTATTGTATGCAAATGCTGATAGCTCACATAAATTGAAACTTTTAATCATTGAAAATTTTGAAAGATCACGTTGCTTTAAAAATATAAGAATCTAAACTATTCCAATAACATACTGTAATAATGCTAAAGCCTGGATGATTGCATTACTTTTTTAAGAGTAGCTTTGAGAATTTGATCGTCAAGTTAGTCTAAAGTATAAAGGCTAATGTGTATTACTTTTCCTTGATAACTATTTTAGCCATAAGCTAGCTGGCCTTACATTACAATACACTGATATTCATTTTTTGCCTTTGAATATGACTTTGAAAATTCAGCCAATGAACGCTAGAATAGTTATATTCTTTAAAAGACACTATTATTATTCTCATATACGGTAAGTAAATTATTAAATTTACTATATATTTTAGTATTCAAATCTAACTGTTTGTTTTTAAAAGTTTGATGCTAAAATATGTAGAGGAAGGTAATTGTGCAGAGGATTTACATATCAATATCTTACAGGCAATTCAATTTATTATCCAAGCCTAGAATAAGGTTAATGCTAAAATAATTAGTAATTATTAGCGTTATACAAAAATTCTTCCTGATGCAAATGTAGATTTTAGAAATATTTTAGAAGATATTTGCCAAAATGAAAATTTAGTATTTCGTGATCTTATAGATTCACTTTAAGCCTTTAATCTTTTCAATCTAATGCAAGCAGAAGAGTTTTTTAACATACTAAAAGAAAATATTATTTATGAAGTTCCCAAAGATGATCAAGTTATTGAAAAACTTGTATATCTCTTTAATAATACTGACAAGAAGAATGTAGATTTAGACGAAATGGATGATAGTGATAAAATTCCTATTATTAGTCCTAATGCTACAATTGTTAGCTTAGAAACTGTATATACATTTTTACTTCAACAGAATAATGCAGAAGAATATGTGAAGTTAGTGAGAAAAATTGAAAAATTTTTTAGGATCAAAAAGATAAGCTTAATGTGACAAACTGATCTTAACACATATTTTCATTAAAAGTAATTCTGGCATCTGTAGTACTGTTAGCATATATTTTATTATTTAACGCTAATATTGATTTTTTGAGTTTGATGACTTGTGATTTTGCCAGAGCTGAAGATAAATATTTACGTAAAAATATAATTACCATCACAAAGATTATATATATTATAGCATTCTTTGAAAAAATGCCTTAAAGCATCTCTATTGTTATGACATCTCAGATTAGTATCTCATAGATTATAATTATGATGCTGAAGAGTACAATCAAAAACATATTAGAGTTTGAAAGCATTTTGCGAAGTTAGGTGAGAAATTGAAATTATTAGAGTTTTTAAGAGTATGCGCAAAATATTATGTTTTGATTGTTTTTTTTTCTTAAAAGAAACGTCTTCAATACACTCAATTTTTATAATTAAGACCCTTTGCAATTAATCACAATAATTATCGCAAAATATAAAAATCCCTAGATCTTCACTGGAAATCATATTATCTAATAATTTGCTGATCAGATTTCTTAAATTACTCTATATTAATATGCATATACACTCGAGTAATAAAAAATTAGTATATAGATTTTAGAGGAATTACACCAATTATTCCTACATGAGAAAAAAATTAACTATAACTTAATACCCTAAACATTATTTTATTTGCAATACATTGAGCCTGATCCTAAAGGGATTACTAAAATAAATTATATAATGCGAGAATTGGTTCATGATACATGATGATTTTTTCTATACCTTAGTCTTAAAGGGATCCGCTTCATCATGATAGTTTATCCTATTCATTGTGTCTGTTCTACCTACTACCAATAACCCATTATATTCATTATTTTCATTCTGATACTAATGTGAACTTTGAAAAGGAACTATGTATTAGTTATAAGCTCTGAAAACGCCTCCTTGCAAATGCTCAACTTAAACCGAAAGTAAACATCTATCCTTAATTGTCTAATATCTCATCTGATACTTTGCTAAGTAACTTTTATTTCACTGGCACTTTTTCATACTGAGATACGCAATGAGTATGCCCGTTATATTTGCTTATTTCAGTGTTAGTTATGCAAAGACCAATAGACCAAATTATCATAGGGTCTTTTAGTCTAGATCATTTAGTCTATTCATAATTTGTTAATAGACTATTGAATGACTCAGGTCTATTGAAAAATCACGTTTAACTCATCGAATTAAAAGATTTTGACGATCTTTCAGAATTTGTGAAATAGTTTAATATTCAAATAGAAATTCAAATTTCAATTGAATCTCATTCACGTTATAGTTGTATAAAGCTCGTTAAATTAAAAATAATTGGAAATCAATCTTAGATGTTTCTTTTTTTTAAAAAAAAGAAAAATTCTAGAAATGTTACTAATGTTTCCTTTTTTTATTTTTAGGATTTTCAGCTTTTTTCAGTTTAAATATTGTTGAGTATTGGTTTTACTTTTGATAAACCTTAGGTTCAGGTATTTTTTTTAAAAAAAATTTGTTTTTTTAGAAATGTATAAAAAATGTAATTGAACAATGGAAAATGATTTCAATTATTTTATTGATCAACTATCCCTTATTGATGGATTCTTCTGCGAAAGAAACTGTGGCTATAGAACCTACATAACTAATTTTGATGGTGACAATTCTCAAGACATAGTTATGGCCACTGTTGGTTCAGAATCTTTAAAGAAACCAATTAATGGTGAAAAAAAAAATATCCCTTAATACTAATCTTGTTGATTATTCTGATGGTCATTGAATTCTGTGTGTGCTATAGAAAATGGAAAGTTTTGTAATGATGATCAATACGAACTTGGTCTTAACTTTGACATGTGAAAAAGGTTTATTAATAGAGTCAAATTGGAAATTGAGGTTTCAGTTAATTGAGACACCTCCTTTAAAATCTATTAGCTTTACATATCTAAATAAGGCGTTGGTATCCGCTATATCGCCTATAGTGATTTTTGCTACAAACCGTAGAATGTATCAAGTCAGGTAATAGATTATTTTTATTTTATTTTATTTTTTTTTAAAAAAATCTCTGAACTTATTTTCTAATATTTTGATAAAGGAACAGATGATATTATTGCACCTCATAGCATTCCAATTGATTTGATTGATCGAATTTTGATCATTTGAATATTATAGATGATATCAGATCAATTATTCAAATTCGTGCAAAAACTGAAGAATGACGATGCTTTGAATTATATGGCTGAATCTGGAGTTAAAACATCTTTGAGGTAATAATTTACGACAAAGTCTATTGTTTAAAAATAATTTTAATTTGTTCGTATTTGCCTATT